ATGATTCTATGATTCTATGATTTGCTATGTGGTAAATGTATAATCATGGGTAAAGCAAAAATGGAGTAAGAGGTGTTAAAGTTCAGCCAATTTGGCAGACAGTCATCAGAGCAGCTAGACTGGGAAACACCCACCTCTTTGTATTGGAGGAACACTGGGATTTAATGAAATGAGGGATCCTTCAACAAGTGGTCTGCTCAAAAGAGCTAATTATCAGGTTATTCATTTTCCAAACAAGAATTTTGAGTAAGATGTGTAAGAAAATTCCTCCCCTCCTGCCAGTCGAAATAATTTTCTATATGAAGAAGATTAGAAAAATATTAGTGCTTCACATGGGAAATGGTCTGATTTCTTTGTCAGTTTTCTGTCTTGACACTAATGAAAATGGAAAATTGGCTGTCAAAGTTCATTTCCCTGAAAGGCCTCTTTTTGGAAGAATGAAGTAGGGGCTGGAAGGAGGAAGGACAAGGGCATGTTTTTTTGCCAGTGACATTTAAATCTGGATTAGCAACTCAGAAATACTGTTCTAGATCAGCCTGGGCAGAGTATGCCCCAGGGCCATGAAAGCGGACAACATTAATGCATAGGCAGGATTTGCAGATGATCAGCCCTAATTATGAAAATTATTACACAGAAGGAATTTTGACAATACAATAATTTGTTATGGAGGTTGATAGTATACACCAGAATTTTTTTAAGCACATTTAGCAAACTACTGTAGCTTTAGGTGCTCTTTTTGTAAGGAAACTTTTCAGAAGGTAGTGTAATCTGGTGCAGATGCTCAGTGCTGGCTAGCAGCTCTGAAAATCTCCAACAGTTTTGCAGAAAATTTTGTAAGGAATCCATGCGGTGAAAGGATAAGCCTAGACTGACAGAGCAACCAGAACATTACCTGCTGACCAATGCATTATGACACTTTATTTCTAAATTATGAAAAGCTGGTTATATTAATTGGAAAGGTACAGTGTTTTGAAAAATCAATTGTGACAGTAAAAGGAATAGTTTGTGTTAATAATACTGATCTGGCAAACACCATCAGCAGACCTGCCAGGTAAGAGAGGGATCACCCTCACTGGTGGGTGGGCGCCTCGTTAGTGAGAGTGCAGTGATGAAGTACTTCCACCTAGCCCAAAGAAAACAACTGTGTAAACAAAAAGGTTTAGATCCTGCTAATGCTGTAGAAAAGTACTTGCAAGAGTGGGAAAGAATTAAAATCAAACCCGCTTTTCTTCTATTTTCTTTGTCTTTACAGTACACCGTACTGCATGTATAAATCCCACAAACTCATTTATATGATTATATGCACACAGAGCATTTGCAAACAGCATTCTCCCTTTAAAGATTAATATATTTTATCAAGGAAATCACTGACCTGGGATAATGGCTTTTTCTTTCCGCAGTTTATACCTCCAATAAAAACTATGTTGGGCATCACTGGCATGGGATACTCAAAAACAAAATCCATTCTTTTAAGCCAAATGGATCCATGGCTTAAGAGCTCCATCATTGTTACTGGTCTGTGAAGAACATCTGAGGCCAGAAGTTCAAATGGCAAATAGGCAAAATTGCAAAGAAATGATTCTGATGACTTGAGAAGGAAGTTTTCCACACGCTGGATAAACGTCATGTGGTCTGAGTTGTCTGTAAAAGTTCTTGGGACGTAGGAAGGGGGATCTGGACACTGAGTAGCCTGCAAATCAAAACTGCAGGGGAGTCCCCGTAAAAAGAAAATAGATGGGATAGAGAGATGCAGAGCCAGTATTTGTCCACATGGTACAACAGGATCCGTGAGAACAGCATCAAATTTACTCCCTTCGAGATATTGTATCAGATCCTTATTGTGCAGTAAACTGCTACAGGAGGAGACGTAGAGATCGGAGATGACTCGAACTTTTTCATAAAGCGCAGTGATTCTTTGAAGAAAAGGTCTTCTCTCAAAAAGATCATTTGCAAATGAATGCATGCTTGCTCCCAGTTCTTCCCTAGTTAAAGGCACTGGATACGTTTTGAGAGTGTAATATTCAGATGCCTTCACGTTCAAGTTTACTTCTGGTGCGACAGCGACAATTTCGTGCTCTTTCTGGCTGAGGGCCACCAGCAGCGAGCGCATGCTGAGCCAGTGACTCCCATCCATTGGCACCACCAACAGCTTTCCACCATCCGCCAAGCAAAACAGAGACAGGAAAACCAAAACCCCCGCAGAAACTAAGAAACTGTATTTACTTACGTGAGCCATGCTCCTAGAAATCCAAAGTCTGTTCATTTGCCCTGACCTAACAGATTTTAAGTAGACCCACAGCCCCCTGCCAGATTCTCACATTCCCGCTTAACGATCTGGCTTTTCCAGCAAAACCAGTCACCAGTAACCATTCAAGGCACTGATGAATCATTTAAGGAACGTGATAAATCAATTTGGGTTGGGCAGAACTGGGCTGGGTATCTGAGGCTCCCTTGGGATGAGTCTTTTCTGATTGATTCCCTGTGATTGATATTAGACTGAAAATAAAATCAGACTTTGCAAAAACAAAATCCCAAGTCTTTGAATAGCGCTGGCACGTGAAGTAACTGGGCTTGCTGAAAGCAGGTATTAAAATGCTTTCTTGCTTTCCTTCTTTTCTTTCTTTCTTCTTGATAAGCATTTTACAGTTGTTCTGAAATGCTTGTCGAGTTTATGTTTAAAATTGCAAAGTTATGCCACTATACAGCACCGTATCTGTGCAAATCCTAAGGAAGAGGCTCTGTGATTTACATACAGCTCAGTACTGGGGCCAGGTACAACATCAGGTACAAATTTATTACAGTAAGCAACACTGCCGCAGAGGCTTGCATCAGCAAAGGAAAAACACCAAATCCATGCTGTCATGCACGACACTTCTCCATTCTCATCCTGACCTATCTCTCTTGATCATTTTCTTCTTCCAGGAGCAATAGCAAGGAGAAGCCACTCAGCTCCCCTTGTACCTAATTAAATACAGGAAAGCTTGGACAGAAGGAGCTAGTAACAGCCCTCTTGTTTCAGGGCAGGAATTGATTTTAAATGGTAAGAAGTGATGTTATTAGTTCAGACGAAAAACTAAAAGTAAGATACCATGTCTGAGCAGTTAACGAGTACTTGTGATAACCTTGTTAACCTGCAGGATTTTATTTTGCCTTTAGATTTAACTGTGTGATTCAGAGACATAGTCAGAAGATGATGAGAAATCAGGACTCAAGAATAAGCACTTCTGCAATAAATATTGCTGCTGGACTATGATCTTCAGCCCCTGAGCAAGATGAGAGAGTGAGCTTTGTCTTCAGAAGAGGGTCTGATTTTAAGCTGGAGTTGCTATGTGGCTTTGCCTGCAGGCAGGACGTCTTGCTGCTTTCCCAGAGGATCTGCCTGGGTTTGTCCCCTGAGGAGCCATTAAGCAGCTCTGATGGATAGAACAGATAGGAAAAAAGCACTACCCTGATAAAAGTGGCCATGTGGGGGGTTGATGGCAATTTGAAAGAGACTTTTGTGAAAAAGCAAGAGATGAACACCAGCATCTCAACAGAAATAAACAGTACTTTCAACAGGCAGCATCATGTGAAGTACTGGGAGGAGTAAAGCAAAGCCTGAGGGCAGTTAAGGTTGGCTCTGGGAAAGATGTGCCAGGCTTGTAAAATGCCAATCTATGTTCTTGTGAAGCTTGACTCATTCATATTGACAAAGGCCTATGAATTTGGGGGAAGAGTAAGAGTGGTGATAGGTAGGAGGAATCCATTCCCTAAGACCCAGGGAAGGCTGGCAAGGGAAAATAGATCAAGGGAAGACTAGAAGGTAGCCTGTTTATTTTTAAGTAACATGCACAAAGGATCAAACTTTATCCCTTCTAGGAAACAATGTGATTTATTGCTGAAACAGCTGGATGACACTAACTACAGATTCATGATCTGCTGAGGAGAGCGGTCTCCTATATCTCCCCCTTTTCCACTTAATTTCTGCCTTCACATGAGGCTATTCTACTCGCAGCACAAGCAGGCAAGAATAGACATCACATGCAGCAACAAGCTAATGTACATCATGAGCACCAACAAGCTAACGTACATCACATGCATGCCTTTATCAAGTACTTTTTAGACCACAGATACTCAAGCAACCACCCATCAACATTTCCTTATCCAAACTGGACATCTCCTAAAAGTGCAGTTGAGAATTCAGCTGTCTAGTTTTTGTGACGGAAGCTGTTGTTAGACCAAAACCTTCACCACAAAATATTAGCCTTCGACTCAAAACACAAGACTGCCATTACAGAAAAGAGCACATGATGCTGTTGTACATAACCCAGCAAGTTATTTTTCTGACTGGATAAGCAGCTAATGCTCTTGAAGAAATATTCTACTGCCTCTTATGTGAGGCAAAGAATTTTAGGAAGAGCTGTTATAATTCACTTGCCTTTTTTGCATTAAATCCTGGGCGAGATGGTGTTTGTGTACCTGATTTCAGCTGGAATTAAACAGAGCATAGCATGCGATCTTCTCACTGAACAAAATTCCCGTGTTGGGCAGACCCAAGGAAAGGAGGTGGAATCACATCTTGTTCTTCTGGTCTGTTTTTCATGTGCGCTGGCTATACAGAAAGCATTGATCTAAATTATGCCTATAGGTAAGAAACATCCATCTCAAACACACCATTAAACCTCACTCAGATCACGCAGGTGTGTGACTGCCAGAACTTTTCCCTTGTTACATCTTCCCCAGCCAGTCACTGACCTGAGATAATGGTTTCTTCTGTTTATGCCTCCAATGAAAATCATATTGGGTATTCAGGCATGGGATAGTCAAAGACAAAGTCAAGTTTCTTCAGCCAAATGGATCCATGTCTTAAAAGCTGTGAAATTGTTATTGGCATTTGGAGAAAGTCTGAGGTCAGGCTTTCAAATGGTGAAAAGACCACAGCGCAGGTGAAAGACTCTGAAATGCTACTGAGGAAGTTCTTCACCCTCTAAGAGAATGTCATACGATCTGTACTGAGTGGGAACGTTCGTGGGACATAGGACGGTGGGTCCGGACTCTGAGCATCATGAATGTCTATAGCACATGGGATGCCCCACAAGAAGAAAACAGTAGGGATAGAAAAGTGCAAAGCTATTATTTGTCCATGGGTTGTCAGAGGCTCTGTAAAGATGGAATCAAATTTACTTTCTTCAATGTATTTCATCATCTCTTTGTTGTACAGTAAGGAATGGCAGGAAGCTTCAAACATGGGAGAGCTCTTTTGGAAATTATCCCAAGTATTCAAAAATCAGATCAGGAAAGGCTCTTTGCTAAAACAGTTTGCACTAAGTGAGCTCAGAAGTTCCTCCATCTCTTCCTTTTTGAAAGGTACAGGATACATTTTCAGTGCATATACCCCTGAGGAATCTATCAGCGTTTTGGTGTCTGGTGTGGTAACAACTATCTCATGCCCTCTTTTGCTCAGCTCAGCTAGCACTTTCTTCATACTGAGCCAGTGATTGCCCTCCATTGGGATCACCAGCAGTTCTGCAGCAGCAGCAGGACCCAGGCAGCACAAGACAGGGAGCAGCACTGCCACGAGCATATTATGAGTTGGACCCACAGGAACCCACCCACGAGAGAGGCCAGAGCTGGTTTGCAAGCTTTTGTAGCTACGCTCCACCTATGCAAACACACCACTTGGCAATGCTTTCTAATGATACCTCTGCCCTTTTGACTTGCCTCACATTTCAGGTGTTCTTGACTTTGCACACAATGGAGTCGTGGTAGGTGATTAATGATTATAAAAGGTTGAGATGAGGTGTGTACTTCAAGGGCAGGTTTGCATGAGCATGAGAAAGGTGTGTCTCCTATCACAAACTTCGCTCACCCAAGCTGAGATTACAGCTCAATGCCTCAGCCTTCTCTTCTTCCCATAGCAGGACTACAGCTTCATGACTCCTCTTACCATCAGCAACCCGGCAACTTTTGCTGACATTTACTGACAGCATGCTCTAAGGTGCATGGGAATCCATCAAAGAAATGTATACATGGAGTGGATGGACAGAAACACTGCTGATCCCAGGTGGTAGTACTGGGTCTATAAAAAGAACACTAAAATGACTCTTCTCCATCTCCTGTTGGAGATCTCTGTGCCACTGAAGGCTGGCAGAGTTGTCACAGACTGTAGTAATTTGGTATTTTTTTTATAAATATTTTCTTTTCTAATGAAGCGGAGGCAAGTTGTACAGTGAAACATAACTTATAGTAAAGATCAATATGAGAAATCAATGTTAAAGTACCTGGGTTTTGCTTTTTGCCTTTTTTTTAAATAACCAGTTGTTACAACTGAGAAAAATGAATTCATTCTTTCATTGCTGCAAACATGCATTTTTTTGAAGACATGTAGCCAACAGAAAATCTTTCCCCCTCTCTACCTATAACTTCCATCTAACCTCTTATCCTATCGGGTGTAAAACTAAGTTGCAAAACAGCAATTGATTGTTGTACCTTAGATAACATAAACCAACACCATGTTTCTAATTCGTGAACTCACGAGTTCATGGCCAATGTCAGTTCAGTTCGCAACTGAAAGAGTTCATCAATTCTCTGAGTCCAGATCCAGTTGTAAATTGCAGGGTTTTTAAATGTTGGTCATAACTTCCCACCATAAAAGTTTCTAAGTAGGTGGCGGGGCAGGTGCCTTTGGGATACAGTTTGCTCCTCCACATCATTCATGGCTCTACGTCAGTGGTGGATCTTTCTTTCACATGCAGTTTCTGCATGCTTATTTTCAAACCTGGTGGGAAAGCTTTGACCTTATTGAGAACCTGCCCTCCAAAACCAGCAGCCAGCTCCATCACCCGTACTGTCCCCGTATCAGTAGTTTACAACATAGGATTAACTTAATGGGAATTTTCAAACAGCTCAGGAGAAGGTGATGCACAGAAACAGACCTATTGCTCATAACCTCTAAAAAAGCTGTCAAATGAACATAGAAGAAGGTGCTAGTTCAGGCTAGACTAACAGATGAAGAAAGGCAAGTCATGCATGTCTCACGTGGGGCATTTACAGACGTCTGCTTGAGTCTTTAATATCCCATCAGCAATCTTGCCCACTCCTGACTCCACGTCCTTTTGAAAGACCCCTTGTGAGCAACTGCTACTCCTTTTCCTTCATTTGAACGTACATAACCAGTTAGAAGGAACCAAGTGGCATTAGAGGCACTCTGGTAAGAGGACTGGCTCTGCCACTTCCAACACAAGCACTAAACATACTTATCTGGGCAAAAGGGGAGGATATTAGGGCTTTCCTCTACACTGCTCTGTTTCAGGGGTACTCACAATTTGCAATATTTGAATATCCTTTTCCTGTTTTCAATCTGCTACGGAATATGCTATACTTGATTCAGAGACCTGGTTGGTACCCAGAAACCTGAATGGGAATTTACAGAAGACATCCATGCCCAGAAAAGCTTAAAACCTAATTAAATCACCTATAAAAGAAGGGGAGGATACAATTTAAGAAGGCTTCCTCTTTGGGGTTAGATATTGGTGCCTTGACGTAACAGCAGAGATGTAAATGAATCGATCTAGCAGATGGAGGTGACAGAAAAAGAACTGATGAATAGCTAAAATCCTAAGTCCTATAACGTTCAACGTGGATGAAAGAAGAATGGGTACATAGAAGTATGGACGGACAGTCCATGAGACAGCTGTGAAGGGAAGACATCATGGGGCAGACAGAGAGCAGACTGTGCTTATGGGTGTTCCTCAGGCTACTCTTTCAGAGCAATAGAGCCAAGTCCTCTGAGCCTGGCTTTGGTTGCAGGGACAGCTCTTACGGAGATGGACATGGCATGAGAAACTGAGATGAAACGGAAGCTAACAAGTCTGGCTCCTGTTGAGGAGGAAAGTTTGCAACTTACCAAAATTCAGGTGAGCTTCAGTTCAATAGAAGTGCTTATCATTTGCATAAAAGTTACGTGTCACTTAAATTCTCATATCTGATAAGGCTTTAGGTTTGCCAGGATATGATATAATCTGAATGCTGGATAATAGGAAATCACATTTCTGCATCATGCAGGATTTCTCATTAGCTTTCTACCTTTAAATACCAAAGTGTTGTCAGTTAGGTTTTGATGTAAGAATGCTTAAACATTTACATTCTCACCTTTTCAATAAAAACAAAATGGAATGTTATACCTGAGACAGTTTTTTCTTCTGATCACAGTTTATCCCTCCAATAAAAACCATGTTTGGCATCACTGGTCTCGGGAACTCAAACACAAAATCGTATCTCAGTAGCCAAATAGATCCACGGCTTAGAAGGTCTGTAGCTGTCACTTTTTTTTGAAAAATTTCATATGCAAGTTCTTCAAATTCAGTGAATAGAGGCTTACAGTAAAAGAACTCCAGTATATGGACCAGCATGTTCTTCACGCGTTGAGCAAATGTCATGCTATCTGAATTATTTAGGAAGAGTCTGGGGACATAAGAAAGAGGGTTTGGACACTGGGTGGCTTCAGAATCCATACCACAAGGAAATCCCCGCAAAAAGTAGACAGAAGGAACTGAAAGATAGTCAGCGATTATCGGTCCGCACATCAGAATTGGATCCGTGAATACCACATCAAATTTGCTCTCTTTCAAATATTTCATTATTTCTTCATTGTGCAAAAGGCTCTTACAGTTGGTGTAAAAGAACTTGGAAATGTCTAAAACGCTTTGATACATTGTAATAATAATATTCAAAACAGATTGTTCAATAAAATGAGCATTAACGAATGATTTGATCACAACAGCTAATTGTTCCTCTGCGTAAGGTATTGGATATAATTTCACTGTATAATTCTGAGGCTCCTTTGGCTTCATATACAAACTTGTTGACGGTACAACCACAACAACTTCATGTCCCTTTTGCTGGAGTTTCTCCACTACTGGACGCATGCTGAGCCAGTGACTTCCATCCTGAGGTATCACCAGGACTTTTCCACCTTCAGCAAAGATTAAAGACGATGTCAGAAGAAGAAATATCCCAGTATGTTGGTAAAAATACTGAAATGGAAGAGCCATTTCAGTGGAAGTAAACTGGTGAGTTCTGCTCCAGAGGCATCCGACACAGTCCTTTACATGAGGTCTGTTCAAGCTTTAACTTTTCTGCAGGGAACTTATTGACTGCAGAAATAAATATTTAACTTCCCAATATTTTTGTGGTTATTCTTCAATATTGCAATTGTTTATATAACAGGGAAGGGGAGCACATGGTTCTTGAAAAAAGATGTTCCCCTTTGTACTTTTAGTTAATTTTTAAGCTCAGAAGTATGTCAGCATGTTCATGAAACTAAGGCCAGGGATGTCATCTTGTAATAATGTTTGTGGTTAATACCATTAACTGAGTAAGTACTCAGTGAGAAAATAAGCCTGGGTTTGCTTTCAAAAGGCAACCTTTAAAATACACCCAGCAGAGTGAATGGAAATTGCAGCACCGTTTCTTTTATGGCCTGGCCTCACTGAGAACACCTAACCAGCAGGTAGAAGGCTGACGTTAAATTCCCACCTCCTGGAAGCAGTCAAACCTGCATGTCTTATGAACATATCACAGCTACCAGGATGTACCATGCAATCCCAAACCTGAGGAGGAGAAGAACAATCCTGTTTGGCTTTTCTCCCCATGGTACTAGACAAAAAAAAAACCTAGGTGGTAATACTCCAGCTTGAGTTTCCAAAGAAATCTCTACTAGTTTGGCGTGACCCCTTGTTTGCTGGCATTCACTACTGTCCTCAGGAAACCTGCAGTGAATGGAGGCCCTGAGGGCTTTGCTGGAGGAACGTTTTGTCTTTATGCAAGTAAAAGCAACACCAGAACAAAGTCTATTGGGTGGTGCTAAGGAAGAGGTCCTTGTGAAGAAAAGAGCTGATGCAAAACTATCAGCAGCACAAACTTTTTCCTATTCCTTCCTTTTGTAAGTGAGGGTGGGATTCCAAGCATCTTCAACGTGGAGAAACAAACCCTTACAGCCTCAGGCACCCAAAGGGTGCTAGCAGTGCTCTGCTTAGCTCCACGCCGTCACGCTGACATGGAGGAACCACCTTTAGACACGGAGAACCGATTTCTAGAGAGGGCCAAATATGGGGGAATGAGGGAGGCAGTTTTGTAAGGCACAGACTGAAAGTGTGAGATGGAACTTATTTATGAATAATTATGATTAAATGCTGGAGATTTGGAAATAAAAAGTTTATTACAACTGCTGTGACAGGAACTGACCACATCCGTTTGGAACTTGCTACTTCGTGTGTTTTTTGCTCTGCACTTGAATATGATTTTCAACAGCAAAATTAGCTGGCTGAAAACAGCCAATACAAAGTTCATCTTCCAGTGGTATAAGAAAACAAGCTTCTTGTTCAACAGACTCCTTATTATTTGTACCGGATCATCAGAGTAAAAGTTGTGGGAAAAGTGAGGCAGCAATAGGAAGGACAGAATTTTTAAAAAGAGAAATTAGAGATAAACCGAGAACAGACGAACAGACAAAGGATGCAG